AGCTTATTCTTAATTCTAGAAATTTTTAATTAAATAAGAGGCTGGAGAGTTGGCTCAGTATTTAAGTGCACTGGTTGCTCTTGCAGAGGACCCAGGTTTGAGTCCCAGTACCCACATGGCAGCTAACAACCGTTTGTAACTCCAGTTCCAGGCAATCCAAAGCCCTCTTCTGACCTCTGTAGGCATTGCACGATATGGGTACACCTACCTACATGCAGGCAAAACACTCATACACATAAAATAATAAAATATTTTTGAAACAGCAGCAAAAAGTGGATTAAAAAATATGCTCATCTGTAAAAGTTTGAAATTCTGTCATTTGTAGCAACATGAATGGAACATAACACTGTTAAGTGAAATAAGCCAGGGACAGAAAGATATATACCTGTTTCCACTCATGTACATAAGCTAAAAGTGTTAAGCCAAACAATCTGATTTAAAAACTGGGTAAACGAGGGCTGGGAATGTGGCATAGAGGCTTGCCTAGTGTGCAAGCGGCCATTGGGTCAGTTCCTAGCACCACTGAACAAACAAGCAAAGATCAAAAAGGGAAAATGGGGCAAATTATCTGAACAGGCGTTTCTCAGAAGATATGCCAGTGGTGAACAAGGGGCTGGAGAGATGGCTGAGCACTTGCTGTTCCGCAGAGGACTGGAGTGGTTTTGTCTGTGACGCCAGCTCCAAGGGATTTGGTGCCCTCTGCTGGCCTTCATGAGCACCCATACACATTTACATCTCTCTCTCTCTGTCTCTCTGTCTCTCTCTCTCTCCCCCCTCCCTCTCCCTCTCCCTCCCTCTACCCTCTCTCTCCTGTCTCTCCCCCTCCATGCACAGACAAAATACTATAAAGTAAATCTTAAACAAAAACAGATGGTGAAAAAAATACATGAAAAACGTGTCCCATTACTAATCACGAAGGGAATTCAAATAAAATCCATGAGACGACCTCACCCCAGTAACAGTGGCTCTTATAAAAAGACAAAAAATGAGAAATATTGGTAGGATTTAGAGAAAGGGGAATTCTCATACACTGTTGATGGGGGTGTAAATTAGTTACACCATTATGGAAATAGTCTGTAAGTTCAAAAAAAAGCTAGCAGGGCATAGTGGGGCAGGTCTGCAATCCCCGTACTCAGGAGGCTGAGGCAGGAGGATTGAGAGCATGTGTTTTATCTATACTACATACCCTGGGCTGAGGTGGTTGTTGTTGCAGCCACTGCCTAGCGTGCACCTGACCTGAATTGATCCCGACACCAAAAGCAAAAAGAAAAGCAGAACACTGCGTCCTCAGCCGTTGTTCCTTTGGGGACATTTCCCTACTGTTTAATTAATCGTTTTTTAATTACTTTCAATGTGTTCTAAGAGAAATGGCTAAGCCAACAATATTATTTCCAAAATTTAAAGAATATTTCCAAAGACTTTTCTTACACTGAAATTTTATCTGATTACAGAAGTTTGGTTCCCTTGAAGCTTTAAGTTAGATGAAATATTCAAAATTTTCTCAAGATACTGAGATATGTAAATATATGATCTTTATTTCATGTATTTTAGGGGGACAAAAAATTCAAAAAATACATCAGCAGGGGCTGGAGAGATGGCTCAGCGACTAAGAGCACTGGCTACTCTTGCAGAGGACCCAGCACCCACATAGCGGCTAACAACCATTCATAATTCCAGTTTCGGGGGACCTGACACCCTCTTCTGACCTCTGAGGGCATTGCATGACACAGGTGCACTTACACACATGCAGGCAATACATTCATACACCTAAAATAAAAATAATAAAACAATTAAAAAACAAAAAGTACAGCAGGGGCTGGAGAGATGGCTCAGCGGTTAAGAGCACTGACTGAATCGAACCGGGTTCGATTCCCAGGACCCACATGGTGGCTGTGTACCGTCCTTAACTCCAGTTCCAGAGGAATAGGAAGCCCTCTTCTGACCTCTGTGGCACTGCAAGACATGGGTGCACTCACATACACGCAGGCAATACACTCATACACATTAAAAAAATAAAATTAAATTTAAAAAAAAGTACAGAAGCAGATGAATAAAATAGCACAAGAATGAAAACAATCTTCGTCCTACCAATTCCTTGGGGTATCTCTGAAATCATGTTTCTAGATAAATCTAACACAATGAGGTTCTGGAATCTTCCAATGAATTCAGGAATTTTCAACAAACCAGTTCTATGAAGCTGCCATTCCTGTAACTGGTTCAGTTTCAGTAAAGAAGAAGGGAGAGTCTAAAGCAAAAAGAAAAAGAAAAAGAAAATAAAATAAATACGCACATATGCATACATACAGGTACATTTATTTGAATGTAAATAATTGAATTATTGAATTACTTTAATATTATATCATTCTCGTGTAGTATTATGTGATTAAAAAAAAACTCTTGGGGATAGTTTTCTCCTCTTTTTTAAAATTAAGAAAACTATTTTATTATTTTTGTTTTATGTGTATGAGTGTATTGCCTGCATGTATGTAAGTGCACCCGTGTTGTGCAATGCCACGGAGGTCAGAAGAGAACTTTGGATTGCCCTGGAACTGGCGTTAAGGACAGTTTGTAGCCACCATGTGGGTCCTAGGAATCGAACCCAGGTCCTCCAGCAAGAACAGTCAGTGCTCTTAACTGGTGAGCCATCTCTCCAGCTCGTTTTCTCCTCTTAATGGGGAACATTTCCAAGTACTTTTTGTTACTTCTATGTTTTTAAATCCTTTAGTTTTATTTTTTTATTTTTTTGTCTTTTTGAGACAGGGTCTCCCTGTAGCCCCAGCTGTCCTGGAACTCACTATGTAGACCAGGCTGGCCTTGAACTCACAGAGATCTGCCTGCCTCTTCCTCCGGAGTGCTGGGACTACAGGTGTGCACTACCACGACTGGCCAGTTTTATTGTTTTTTAAATTTATTCTCAATGTCATACAAGTTATTATTCATTGAATTCATCATATATTACCAAATCTTCAAAGTCCAATCATAATAAACAAAAACCATGTTTTGGTCCATAATGGACAAACATGGAAGTCTGTCCTAGTGACTCTGTTGTGTTCCTTTCCAAGAGTGTATATGTAATTTAAAATGAGAGTACACACAAAACACCTTAGTACTCTAAGTTTCTCTCCCACTTTTAAGTATGTCGTGAGTGTTGAAAAGAGGATTTTTGAATTTTTTTTTTTTTTGGTCTTTTTGAGACAGGTTCTTCCTGTAGCCCCAGCTGACCTGGAAATCCTGTGTAGACCAGGCTGGCCTCAAACTCACGGAGATCCGCCTGCCTCTGCCTCCTGAGATTAAAAGTATGTGCCACCATGCCTGGCTGCAAATTGAATCTTCAAAACAAAACAAAACAAAACAACACTCGTGCTTAGGTTTCCTTTCTATTGTTCGTGTTTCCTCAATTCACTTCACGTGCTATTGAAATTGAATTTCCTTGCCAGGCATGGTCGCGCAAGCCTTTAATCCCAGCACTTGGGAGGCAGAGGCAGGCGGATCTCTGTGAGTTCAAGGCCAGTTCAAGGTCTACATAGTGAGTTTCAGGACAGCTGGGGCAACTGGGAGACCCTGTCTCAAAAAGACAAAAAAAAAAAAAAATGGATTTCCTGATTATTCTAATTACAGTCTCCATAAAAGGTGGAAAATGAAGCATCTCTCCCTAGAGCTTACCTTCCACTCTTCTTTTTCTATCTTCAGAATGACTCTTCCATCTTCCCTGATGACTTTTTCTCTTAGCTTAGTTAAGTTTACTCGTTCTTCCCAGATCCGCACTAGCCTAAGAGACCAGAACATCTTTTCATTTATAGGTAATGACAAAAGTAGCGTTCAAAAAGGCCCATTAGCTGGGCGTGGTGGTGCACGCCTTTAATCCCAGCATCAGGGACTGGATCTCTGTGAGTTTGGGGCTAACCTGGTCTTCATAGCGAGTTTCAGGCTAGCCAGAACAACCACAGTGAGACCCTGTCTCAAAAACGGGGCGGGGAGATGCTGTTGAGATAGCTCAGCCATTAAAGGCTAAAGCTAATAACAAAAAAAGTCAAGAGTTTGGTTTCCAGCACCCACAATTGAGGGCTGCCTCTTTTTTTAAAATTTTTTTAAAAATTATTTTTATGAGTCGGGTGTGGTGGTGCATGCCTTTAATCCTAGCACTCAGGAGGCAGAGGCAGGTGGATCGTGCTGGGATTAAAGGCATGTGCCACCACGCCCGGCTCTAAATTTCTTTTTCTTTTATTAAAAATTATTTATGTGTGTGTTGGGAGGTGTGGATATGCCATGGTGGATGGGTGGAGATCAGAAGACAGTTTGTGGGAATCTGTTTGCTTCCACTATGTGGGTCCTAGGGATTGACTCACATAGTCAGGCTTGGCGGCAAGCACCTCTGCCCACAATGAGCCATCCCATCAGCCCTGCTCCACAGCTAAATTACTTCTTCAAATGTCTGATTTGGGAACTGGAGAGACCACTCAGCAGTTAAGAGCACTTGAGGGTCTTGTAGAGGACCCAGGTTTGATTCACAGCACCCACACGGTGGTAACTCCAGTTCCAGGGGACCTGACACCTTTTTGTGACCTCTATGGGCACTGCATGCACCCAGTTGCACTTATATATTTGCAGGCAAAATATTCTATACACATAAAATGAAAGTAAGTAAATCTTTTTATAAAAAATCTGATTTTGGCTGGGTGTGGTGGCACACACCTTTGATCCCAGCAGTGGGAAGCAGAGGCAAGAGGATCTTTTTGAGTTCGAGGCCAACCTGGTCTACATAGCAAGTCCCAGGCCAGCTGAGGCTACAGGAAGACCCTGTCTCAAAAATACAAAAAAAAAAAATCCTGATCAAATTCAGTGAGACTCTTCATAGATGATTATTTTAAATTTTTAAAAATTAATTTTTTTGTACGTGTATGAGTATTATGCCTGCATGTACATAAGTGCACATGTGTTGTGCAGTGTCTATGGAGGTCAGAAGAGGGCGTCAGATCCTCTGGAACTGGAGTTACGGACAGTTGTTTGCCACCATGTGGATGCTGAGTAGCCGGTGCTCTTAAACACTGAGCCTTCTCTCCAGCTCCTTTTTTTGTTGGTTTCTTTTGAGACAGGGTCTTCCTTTAGCACCAGCTAGCCTGGAACTCACTACATAGACCAGGCTGGCCTTGATCTCACAGAAATCTGCCTGCCTCTGCCTCCCAAGTGCTGGGACTAAAGGCACGTGTGACCATGCCCAGCTATAAATGATCTTTTCATATGGTAATATTATGAATTTTCACTAATTCAAAATAACAAATACATTATAGCATACTTGTGCTGAAATTCTTTCTCTCGCTTCACATCTTCATTGTGTTTCTTTATTCTTTCTTCCCAGACTTCCTTTACAGCATTGACAGCACCAGTACAAACCGCATTTTCTGTCATGATTCCTCCACATTGTTCTCAAGTCATCCACTTTGGCTATTTGAATAGCTAAATCAAAGATGTCACGTCAGAAAGGACCTAAGTGCATCAGAGAAGGAAAAAAGATGGTGTTTCAAAATGTTGACGAAGTACCATAATAGTCATGAGAGGTAATGTGTGTTGAATACCATATTCTGGTAATCTAATTGTCTGGGCTTATCACCTATGATTTATTG